TTGCCAACAACTCCGATAGCATGTCTGTGGTCTCTAATCATCTCTTGTAGCATGCTCGTAGTCTTTGTCCATCTCTGGCTGCATGTCTGCAGTCTCTTTCTTTAGCATTACATTCACTGAATGTTATATGCGGTCCTTTGGTGATGTCGGGGTCAACACTTGAGTTCCCCTATATCAATAAAGCTGTTTTAGTATCTTTGGGTGCTATTCAAAGTGAAAGGCACTGCGACACAAACACTTGCATGGTGCATTGCCGTGTGTTTCGGTAGCACAACACATGGTTGTGAATGGGCCCTAAGAGTTACAGCCTATGAAGTTTCCAATGGGTTATCCCATTACCCCTTTATGGGTTATACATCAGAGCTTCGTAGAATGATATGTTTAATGCTGGAAACACATAACAACGTTTCTTTCAATCGATCATGTGATTTTAATTGTCTTTTTCAAAACTGTTTGACTGTTTTATGGTGTACACACAAGTTCAGTCTCCGCGATTGGATCAGGTTTTCCAATATGTGTGAGCAATTCATTCATTGATCCCCCAATTGAAGATTTCTCACAATTAACAGAAATCTGTCAAATATATTTTGATACTTGAGCAGTTTGATCAAGTGATCAGCACAATCATTATATCTTATGGTGGGATCAGTACAGGAGTGGCCAGCATTAGACTGATACAGGACTGCTAGAAGAATCTTTGCATTATTGTTTTTTCCATTTTTTGTATACATTGTGTTTTTATTAACTAAAAACCATAATAAGGTACTAGTGGACCTGATGGGGAACTAGTAACTCAGCATCCTGCTGTTGGCTATAGAGTTCCACCACTGCCTGCTGTTAATCAGCAGTAGAGCAGACCAGATGGGGGACTGGTACCTCAGCATCCCCATCAGGTTCTGCCCACTCACTGTATAAGTTATTGGCCAGGGAATGCTGTTCCTGTAATTTTATCAGGCTCAGCATTACTGAGCTGCACTGAGAATGAAGTGTCAAGTATGGACATTCCAGCCTCAGCGCACCTCTGTGCCGGGGATTGGACCAAAATCATGTAACTGTTTACAACAAGTATAGCAATCTGGGGCAAGCACTGACATTTGTAGTGAAGTCGCAGACACTAGGTATGCACCAATACCATCTTTTTTTTATTTTACAGTACTCGCCATTACCGATACCCGTATCCAGGGGCTCGGCTAATTAGGAAGCCGTTGTTCAATCGAAAGCACACTGGCTTCACGCTCCCTCATGACACTGCGAGCCATCTGGCGTCCTAACCAATCAGGAAACCGGGCGGCATGTCATGACCCAGCTTCCTGATTAGTCAGGAAGCCAGGCTGCATTGCAGTGTCATGAGGCAGTGTGAAGCTGGCCTCCTAGCCAATCAGGAAGTCACAAGGTGGGTCATGATGTGCCGCCCTGATTCCTGATTGGTCAGGAAGCCTAGGCTGCCTCGTAGTGTGGCTGGGGAGCATGAAGCCGGCTTCCTAGCTAATCAGGAAGCTGGGAGGTGTGTCATGACATGCCACCCGGCTTCCTGATTGGCCTGAAAGCTGACTCCATGGTCCCTTGCAGCACAGCTGGTCAGAGGGAATCTTCCTCTGACCGGAAGTTCCGCTATCAGGGTAAGTATCGGAGCATTTGGGCAAATGCTCACTATCGGCACCGATACCGATATCCGCATCGGTATCGGTGCACCTCTAGTAGATACTCTTGCTGCATCCCCCCCCCCCACAGAAACTCACAGTGTGCAGTGAAATCAGAGGAAGCAAGGTACAACTGTGCAAAACTGAAGGAAAGAACGGAGTTCAGCTTTAAAGGAAACTTGTTACTTTGTACTGCGTTGGCAAAGTGCAGGTTCACTTTAAAGATTCCGGCATCTGCTTCGCCTTTCGCCCCCATCAGAAATTTGGAGGTCTGGTCAAAGTTGGCAGCAAGGATGTACGAGCCAATCAAAGAGTCATCTGAGACGGGACTTTGCAATGTATTCATCTCTCGCCCGAAGCTTATCTTCACATCTTGTCCTCCTAATCCCAGGACGCAGAGCGGGATGAGGACGCATCATCTTAAGAAATAAGTTCACGATATACAAATACAAAAGGTTTCTCCTGACTGAACTTAAAGTACAGAAGAAAAAGAACAAAAAACACCCTTTAGAATAAGGAGAAAATGTCTCTTTAATGTGCAGAAATGTGGGTTTTAGTTTTCTTTTTAATCTGTGCTTCAGAAGAAACATCAAAGACGGAACAAAAATGTGTGTTTTGCCTCCATTTCATTTAAAGCGCAGTTAAAGCTGCACTCCGTTCAGTCTTACACAGTTGTACCGTCTCCTCTCCTGGACTGAAATTGCTTCCTCTGATTTCACTGCACACTGTGAGTGCCTCATGATGTGCAGTAGAAGCTGCAACGCAGAGCCCACCTCATTACCTGGCTGGAGGACGTCCAGCATCATCTAGCTAAGGGGTTGTGCTGTTGTGTTGTGCCCTTGAGGCATTGCAAGACTGACAGTTACAGACTCCCAAAGGCATGTTGGGATTTGTAGTTAAAGAGCAGCTGTAGGGCCGGAGTTGCCCACCCCTGTTCTAGCTCAATTCATTGGATTTCAATTATTTCTATCATGGAGGCTCAGCATCACATATGGGTGTTACCTAGTGAGATCTACATGCAAATGCTGCCTGCCTAGGAACGGCCACTCCTCCAGACAGACATCTACCCATCAAGGCATTTTGATATTTGTATAACTCCTCCCAAGAGCCAGCCCACTGCTTGCTTCAGGGCTCTGGGCAGGAGTACTGAGTCAGGGTGCTGGGATGTTTTCAGGAAGCTATATACAGCACCCTGCCGGCCCCTCACACCAGCCATGACCTCCCTGCATTGCATAAAGCATAGAGACCCAGTGATGACATCACCAGGTCTAACATAAGGTATGTAATGAAAACGGAAAGGTTTTATTCTTTTAACCACTTCCGTGCTGCAAAACGTCTATAGATGGTGGCCGGCAGAAGTGCCCGCATAAATATATATATAAAATATCTGGTCAGAGCATAATGGATGATGCCATCAGCGACTTGATAAATGTCATTTGAAGTTTTGTTTGATTTTAACTAGGGATGCACCGATACCAAGTACCATACTCGGTACAAGTACAGATACTTCTCCAGCTCCAAGACTAGACTAGAGGAAAATTCAAACGTTAGGTGGCAGCTGTCATTTGTAAGGAGCACACGGAGCTCCTGGGATTTGCACATCTTTGTTTTCATGTATGATTTTGTTTTTTTATAAATACATATTAGGGACGCACAGATACCATTTTTGCAAGTACAAGTCCTGATACTTGTCCAAGTCCTCACAGATACGAGTACTGATATATTTTTGTTTCGTGTCATGTGACAGTTTTTCTAAAACAATACAGACTAATGATTTCAGGACACTGGTGGAGCGCCAGAGCCAGGTCCCAGCTGCAACCACTGCAACCCTGGTAGTTCTCATGAAAATGCCAAATATCGGCACTGGTATCTAAACTGCTATCTGAACTGGTATCAGTGCATCCCTAATTTTAACATTTGATTTTGTATATGAATGGAGTTTCTGGAATGAAAGCCATATTCACTGTTAAAATTGTATTGGTTCAAGAAAATGTATGGATCCAGTGATTATTTTTTCCACTGCAGCTGAAAACTATAAGAAAATCAAACACATCCCCAAAGACAATTTTTCAAGCTAAATTCTGCTGGCGTATGCCCGGCTTTATTTGCAGATTGCTGCCTTCATTTCTTTTTTATTGTACTTTTTTTCTTTCTTTCTTGAAAAAAAATTAAAATATTGAGGCTGACGTGGAATCATTTTTTTTTTTTAACAAGAACAAGTCCAGGAGTTTTAGTAACCCCCAGGAGCCAGTTGCAGCTCATCATAACCACCAAAAATCACCTTCATTTCGCCTTGTCTATTGACACCAATGCAATTTACCAAAATCCGAACTTTCAGTTTTATTCATGCTTCTTTACAACAGAGATGGTATTTTTTTTTGTATGTTTATATTATTATTATTTTTTTACAGTTGCTTTTTTTAGAGATCCTGTGATGTCTGCATCTGGAAGTAAGTATGAAATATTTTGTTTATAATTTTTATACACACACACACACACACACACGTCCTCCATGTTTGTTGCCAGCTGTTGTAAAACCAGGGCTGGATTTTTACTCCCTAGCTAGAGATGACCCTGGGCTTCCTGAGTTCCCTGAGTTTGCCCAAGCCCACTCAAAACTCTGACCACCACCCCCTCCTTCCAACCCAATGACTGTAGGAAGGTTCAGCAGCGGCATTCTCCACTCCTTTGTGATGTATAGCTAAGAGGGGCGGGGAATGCACCTCCCTGCAAATGACTGGATAAGGTGGAGCGGGTTAACATAAGATATACGCCGGGTGGATGCCGTTTGCACGGTACTAGGGCCCCTAGATGGCGCTAAGGAGCATAGGAAATTCCTATACTCGTAAGCGCCATCTAGGGACACAACTGCCATGTGAATGGCATAGGGTGGAACTTTTATAAATGAACCCCTATGTGTAAGTCTAGGTTCACAACTATGTGCTTATGGTATTGCACGTGTGTCAATTAGCATTTTTATGCGCAATACCGCGCGTTCAGTTAGAGTAGATCATTAATTTCACACATTTACTGTTTGTTGTATAGAACTCAAATCAAACACAGCAAGAGCGTAATTAGGGCCCATATTTAAAAATCTATAGCGTGAAGCTGGAATCTGTTGTCTGTCTCTTCAAACTGTGAGAATGTCAAACAAATCTCTGAAAAATTAATTCTATTCCCTCACTACTTCAGCCGAGCAGAATAAGCACCATATGGGAAGAATTAGAATATCATTATCCATTGATCAGTATAACAGTACAGTGGTTGGCACTATGTCTCATTAACTGTATATTCCAGAACAAGTCTAACAATGTACAATTCGGAGAATTCTGTTCTCATAAGGTTCTCTTTCCGCCGTAGGTCGAGGTGATGCCAGTGGAAGCGCCACTCTAATACCTGAGAGTAAGTATCGTTGTTTGCCATTGTGATCAATAGCAATTTTGAACTGTGCCCAATAAAGGGGGGGCAGGGGGGGGGCAACATTCACACCAAAAAGTGACAGTGCACTTATTTTTTACTCTTTCAAAGAACTATTTAATACATTCAATTTAAGCCTGAAGAACATTGCAACCGTGATAAGTGGATCATGGGTGCAATGCACAGGATCATGCAAACTATTATTCCCCCCAGCCCCAGTATGGACCTTCCATTACAAGACTGAAGCTATCAATGGACTAGAAGTGCAGTGACGTCACTTGACTTGTGCTTCAGTTAGATCTGGCAGATGAGACTTGGATATTTTCTTCATTCAAAGACCCTGTGGATGGATCTGTGAATGAATGATGCGGTGAATTCATCTGCAAACCAATCAGCAGGGAAAAGAGCCCCCCGAATCAGGTAAGTGGGGTGGGTTCGTCTGTAGAATGTGACCGTGTTTTATGGGTGTAACATGAAACATGGTCTCGAAGTTTAAAAAAGGGAACTTAGACTTGACCAGGTTAAAACGGAATTGTTGATTGCAAGCTCTTCTTCCATTCTTCCCTTATCTTTGCTGCACTTAAATTGGTCTGCTTCCATCAGTGTACTTCCTAATATAACTCAGATATCTGTTTTCCTCTTCTAGGCACCCCTCCACCCATGGAGATAAGCCCAACAAGTAAGTGTCCCGCCTTGTACCTCTGTCTACAAAAGTAGAGTGATTCCAACCATGAGAGTCCATCATACCTATGATTAAAGGAGAACTATGAGGTGACTGATTTTCACTCATCCTCATAGTTCGAGCCGACGTGTGACAATTAAACTGTCACAGGTCGGCTCAATAGATCGGGAAGTGTGCGAACACATACCGTCGCTCGCTCACTTCTCGATCTTGTCCCTGCAGAGAGCCGTGACTGTCACTCCCCCCTCCCCGTTCCGATCCTCCAGCGCTGACTGGCGGAACGGACGGGGGAGGGTGCAGCTGGCTCTGCCTCTAGACAGGCAGAGCCAGCTGTCAATCACGCAGCTGGGTGGATCTCGACAGTAATGTCTGGATTTGTCCTGGCTGCGGCGCTCTCAGTATACCGCGATATACTGAGCTTTGGGTCATGGGAGGACGATAGTTTATGTCCTCCCGTGACCCTTAGGAGAACTATGGGGAGAAACACTTACCCCATAGTTCTCCTTTAAAGGGTCACTCCATCCTAAAGGGACTATTCACTATCACATAGGTACCTGTAGGCTGAATCACTCAACCAATTTGTTAACACTCCTTTAGCAAGAGCTCCAAGCACTTTATTGTATTTATGACGTACTGCAGAAAATGTGAAAGGAGAACAGAGGCTTGTCCTGCAATTATCCAGCCATCCTTACTCTGGAAAAGCATTGCTGCAGGAGCAGCCTGTGTGTACACGCACAGGGCCGGCCTTAGGCCTTTTAGGCGCCCTGTGCGAGAAAGCTTTACAGCGCCCTTTAGTGGCCACCCCCCCGTAACCACACCCATTTCCCCCAATATCCACACCATTTAAAGACTCCTATTTTGTTAAGCCGCAAAGAAACATATTAAAAAGTATGATAAAGATAAAACTTTTATTCAAAGGTACTAAACTTGTAGGCACAATAGAAGTATTCTTATCAAATAAAACAACAGAAGGTAAACAATAAATGTCAAACTACAATAGAGTCTATACAAATAAAGTGTCAGGATGTCATGCCGATCCCTTTTTTCAAGTAGGTGCATCTAGAAAAATAAAAATAAAAAACAGAACACAAACTCGGACTACATGCAAATTAATTAATTACTATATGTCTGAATATACGAGAAATGTATTCAGACACATAATAATCATTTGTTTGAGAATGTGCGGCGGCCATGTTGGCCACCAGCGTGTTCTGTGAATGCGTGCCACCATCTTGGAGGCAGGGAGCATGACGTTACATGACGCCATGCATGCGTGGCGTCAGGTGACCTCACACGCCGATATTGGCCCCACCATCTTGGTGTATACCTAGATATACACCAAGATGGTGGCGCCCAACACGTGCGGTGTTATATGACGTCATGCACCCTGCCTCCAGAACACGCCAAAATGTCTGGATTTGTCCTGGCTGCGGCGCTCTCAGTATACCGCGATATACTGAGCTTTGGGTCATGGGAGGACGATAGTTTATGTCCTCCCGTGACCCTTAGGAGAACTATGGGGAGAAACACTTACCCCATAGTTCTCCTTTAAAGGGTCACTCCATCCTAAAGGGACTATTCACTATCACATAGGTACCTGTAGGCTGAATCACTCAACCAATTTGTTAACACTCCTTTAGCAAGAGCTCCAAGCACTTTATTGTATTTATGACGTACTGCAGAAAATGTGAAAGGAGAACAGAGGCTTGTCCTGCAATTATCCAGCCATCCTTACTCTGGAAAAGCATTGCTGCAGGAGCAGCCTGTGTGTACACGCACAGGGCCGGCCTTAGGCCTTTTAGGCGCCCTGTGCGAGAAAGCTTTACAGCGCCCTTTAGTGGCCACCCCCCCGTAACCACACCCATTTCCCCCAATATCCACACCATTTAAAGACTCCAGGACAGGCAAGGAGCACGTGCCCAGGTTTGTGTGCCCAGGCCTGCCTGGCCTTACAGACAAGCACTTTGACCAGATGGATGATTGAATCTGTTCTGCAGCAGGCTGAGGGTCTAAGCTTTATGTGGCCCTTTAGGGTCCATACAAACTATGGTCTGTTTTGCTGCTTATGCAAGCCAGTGGAAAAATATTCTTTACAGTGGCTTTTAGGAGGTAGTGATTTGTTTTATTTCTTTCACCCTTTCCTACTTATTTCTGCACTTTGCTTCTCTTTTCTCATTTTATATTTAGTTTTTTTAATGGATTTTGCTGATAGAAATATCAGTATTGGTTTGTAAAAGGGCTGTAATAAGTGACCTCTAGCACTCTCAGGTAATGTGCCTCCAGTCTACAACTGGGCTAATATCCATCCTGCACTATCTTTCTACACCAGCTGGTCTAGCTGAAGCATGTGCCCAGTCTCCAATAACTTTTATAGCATCTTTGCAGTCTCTGACCATCTCCTGCTGCATGTCTTTAATCTCAGACAGCTTTCTAGTAGTAAAAGTGAAAGTTGATCTCCACCTCGCTAAGCTTGCTTGCCCCCACTTCTAGAGAACGATAAAGCTCTTTGTTATATTTATCTCTGTAAAAAAATATAAACTATTCATGTCATAGTGCATAAGGGCTAATTGAGACGGGCATGCACGTCCATGTGGCATGCACACCCGTAAAAAGACCCGATCCTGGATGTGCAGGTTCCAGTGTGCCTGTGACCGAGTATAATTGCATGCAGCGCTTCCTCCCATAGGGAAGAATAGACTGATGCATGCAATTACACGCAGCTCCCGTTCCTTCCGGGATCAGGTTTTTTTACAGGTGTGCACGCAGTGCGGATGGCCACGCCCATCGGAATGAGTCCTAAATAGGGTTGCCACCTTTTCTTCCATCGAAACCCGAACACTCTAGCGACGCACATAATTTTTTTCGAAGAATGCGTTGCGGCTTATTCATATGTAAATATCACAGTCGAGGCGATTTTCAGTGGGGGGTCAGTAGCCCCTATCTTAATTTTGTTTTCCCCTGTCTGCCTGACATCTTGTGTCCGGGTTCCTGCTGCCATGAAACCCGGACACAGCATTCAAAACCCGGACTGTCCGGGTGAATCCTGGACAGGTGGCAACACTAATCCTAAAGATAGAAATAAGCTCTCACAAAAAAAGGATATATATTGGGATTACATTTTTATTGTTAAAGTTTATTGTAGACACGTAAGCTTCGGTTCGGTCATTTTGGATATTTTGTTATTTTGGAATTCGGGATTCGGATCCGAAAATTCAATTTGGTTTGGGTTTTGGAAAAATCTGAATTTTGTTAGTTTCGGATGAGTTTGTGAACATATATTTGTTACGACTACCACCATAAAACTGTATACAGATATTAATACTAAAGCTGAATCTCCTAGACCAGAATGGCATTCTGGAATGCTATTCGGAAATTTGGATCCCGAATGCCATTTGGGTCTGGGAGTCTCAGGTTTAGTATTATATGTATATACTGTATATGGCTCCCATGTTGCCGTAACAAAAATTCGTAGTCGGATGCATTAAACCGAAAAACACATCTGATTGGCCACAAAAGTCACATGTTCGATTCGGTTTTGTTTTTGAGCAAAATTCAGGCGGGATCCGACATTCGGAAATGGAAATTCGGATTCAGACACATTCGCATGCATTGGGATTCGGAAATTCGGATGTATCTAAATGTCCGAATTTCTGAAAATTTGTCCGCATTTTGATTCGGAACTAAACGAATCACACGTCTACTTTATTCTTTCCTCTGATTTTGTTTTCTCTCCCTGCACTATGCACATTCTGTAGACTCTTTAGGCTCAATTCATGAAGCTTTGCACAAGGATAAGTATCTTTATTTTCAGTCAGGTGACTGGGAGTCTGAAACCTCATGGGAAAAAGCTAAAAATAACTGTCACTTTGAAATAAGTATCTTTATGATTGTGTTTTAGCTTTGTGAATTGGACCTTTTGTGTGAACTTCCTCTGCGTATGTGTGCTCTCCATTGGTGCCCAAAGTTTTTCTTATTACAGGTGTAGCAGCATGTGATTTATAGCGAACCTTTACCCCCTTTCACTAAAAATAACCTCAGCGTGCAGCTCTGCATGGTGATATGAAATCATTTTACATTAATTAGTTAAACAAACAGATGTTTCTTTTACTTACAATTATTGTTTTTCCACTTCCTGGTCCTCTTGGGCATAAGTGGTGTAATCTGTGGCCAATCATTGCATCCTGGGAAGGTGTCATCAGCAGAGCATTGCCGGGAAACCTCATCTGTAATCTCACGAGATCTTAGGGAAAGGCATTTTCTTCCCCTGAGATGATGGGCATGGTCACATGTCCTAGTCACAGGTGCCAGAGTTCCAGGAAGTAAAGGGAGATGGATTCATCTGCCCTTACTAAAAATGGCCGCTGTCAGAAGAGTGGGGAGGAAAAGAAAAATAATGTAGGCAAGATTAGAAATCCAGCAATGATCTAGAAGCATGTGTTTGTGGATTGTCCTTACTGAACATTTCTAAAGGTGACTTTGTTGACATTTCAATGATATGAGTAAAGTTCCTCTTTAGGTATTTGGGTTCAGATGTACTCATAGTGAATTATAATTTTAATGTGAACTCTCATTGTGCAGAGTCAGGCTTCAAGATAGCAGAGGAGAGTACAGTAAATTTGGGCGTATCAGTGGGAACAGAAAACGATGTTGGTGAATCCATAGAACAAGGTGGGTGAATCTTAAACATGTTAAAAGAATGTATAGCATTTTCTATGCTGTATTTCTGTCATTTTCATACTTCCATCCCTATATAATATAAAATCATTTACATGTTTACAGGGCTCATCTTAAATGTTTTCCTGGCAAAGACCCATCTACAGAGCTCAATAGCTCAAGTTCAGATTACAGAGAGAGAGAGAGACCTTCCTTCCCACCTCTCCTCTGTACAGCCCCCTATAGACTGTCAATTAGAGAGACAGAGTCTGAAAGCAAACAGCTTCAGATGGATACTCTCTTTTGAAAACCTATAATGTTTTGTGTCTATGTGTGCATTTTTTTTTCTGTAGAATAAAGATTTTAAAAACATTGGGGGAAAAAAAATGTTGTCCATTTTTTTTGAGGGTTACATTTTTATATCCTAAATATTTATATTTCATGTTCCCAGCTAACAGGATGCAGTTTATTTGGCAGGTCCAGGATAGATGAAAGGGGGTTTTATATCCACCAGGAGCCATTGCACCTCCAAAAACACCTTTATTACCTCTTCCCTGTTGACTCGAGCATTGTGCAAATATTTAAACTTTTAAAGCTGAACTCTGAAATAAAAAACACAAATGAATGCAGCACTGTAAACCAGTGGCGTCACAAGGGGGGGGACACCAAAATGACTGAAAGTCGGGCACTCAGTCATGGACCGAGAGCCCGACAGTGTCAGGAGAGAGGAGGGGGCCCGGCGGCATACTCATCCCGCCGGGTGAACGTCCCCTCCTTTCTCTGCCGGCGTCCATCACCAAGATGGCCACCGGCAGGCATCAATCAGATGGTGGCGCATGCGCGGTGACGTCACGCGCACGTGCGATAACTACACGGCGGGGTGACACCCGACCTCGGGATGGGGATGCCCCTGCTGTAATCATGATTACACCTTCAAATGTATTTTTCAAGTGCAAGCAGTCTCTGTACATCAGAGCTCAAAGAGGGGGAGGAAGAAGCAGTACAAGGAACCAATCAGTGCAAGAAGCATGCTGATAGCAGGAACCAGTGGCAGAAAGATGAGCTCATTAGTCAGCTACTTCTCCTTTCACTGTCCATTCACAGGCTGGGGTAGGGGAAAAGGCCTGTAAGTAAAAGTTAACCTACAACAGAGAAAAATCAAACCAACCGTCCCTTCCAGACAGGGTTGTGCTTTGTGTCAGAGCTGTGAGTATCTCAGAACTGGATAGCTCCCTTATATGTATTTCATCTGTGCATTTAGCTCTTCAGCTTAAAATTTCAGCATGGGCAACTCTTGTTCATCTCTATTGGGCAACACAGAAAGTTTACATTTCAGAGGTTTAAATAAGGATGGTTCAGTATTTTTTAAAGTGTTTTAATTTAAAAAAAATGTCCCGTTATGGTTCTATTCATACAAGTGCTGACACATTTAATAGTATCTGCGGGAAGGAGAGATTTCTTTCAGTCCCATAAGATTCAGTGCCAAGCAAGCAGCTGTGCCATCTCAGTGCCTTAGGGGACGCCCAGATGTGCCCATCACCCCGTCTGATGACTCTGGTGCCCTGCTGACATTACCGTCCGCTCTACAATCTCCACAATCTAAATATAGCCGGAGACTATTTCCAAGCAAGGTGAGTGAAGGAGAGACTAGGGGGTACAAGTGACTCCTGTCATTGACTGGCCAAGAGCCCCAGGGGCCCCTGTGCCTGGTGAATGTCACTAATTAGCAGCTGGACGGAGATATCTCACGAGTCTGCAATGAACCTAATTGGATGCTTGGAATGTATATAAAAATAATGTCAGAAGGATGGAAAGGGGAACACAATGATCCGTTCATATAGCAGTTGCCATGTTTCCATCTTATACATTCTTTCATTGCACCCGGCACAAAGGAAAATGATGGCGTGTTTTTGGATCATTATTATAATGGGAAACGTAGGCTCATTAGTTAAAATGCCGGCATTGGCAGTACAATTATATACCGATCCATTTTTTTTTCCATTGGAGGTTTTTTTTAAAATACATCTACGATCCGTAGCAAACTAGTACAGGAGAAATATCCCGGCTGCCTATTTGGCGATGTTTTTATTGTTTTTATTTTGTTGCCATTTATTTCCAAATACTAAACCTGCTATCACGTACCTGGTGGGGAGCCGAGTTGTGGGGAGGCCTCCTTTGCAGCACGAGTTCCACACCCCTGAATGTGGAGACAGGAGGTGGGGAAACTACGGGCAGCACCGGTGCCGGGTGATGCAGGACACTGGGCCTGGGCAGGTCCTCGAAGCCCGTCTTCAGCGATGTAGGAAGCAGGTGCTGATGCGGCTGGAGCAGAGCGGAGTCGGGCAAGCCAGGGTCAGCAACAGTCGGGCGGCAAGGTACAATAGGAGGAGGCAAAGGAGAATCCAGGGACAAGCAGAAGTCGGAGGCAGGCGGCAGTCAGGCAAGGTCAAGGAATCCGGTCGATAACAAGCAACAGGCAAGATACAGGAGATAACACACTGGAGCTGAAAGACCACTCAGCAAAGATCTTGGGAGTTGGGCCAGCTTAAATAGGCCAGACAGAGCAAGTCACTTCCTGTGCGCCATGCGCCGTTTGCGCATGCGCAGTCGCTGTCGCTCGCGCAGGCGCAGTAGCTGCCGCTCGCGCATGCGCAGTAGCTGCCGCTCGCGCATGCGCAGTAGCTGCCGTTTCCGGCAAATGTGGTGAACAGGCCTATGCGCATGCGCGGTCGTGACTCTGCCGTTAGGCATGGTCTTACAGTGCCCCCCCCTAACGGGCAGCCTCCGGATGCCCAACCGGGCAAGGGTCTCAGGACGCTCCAGAAAAAACTTCCGGATGAGCCGTGGGGTATGCAAATTAGATTCCGGCTCCCAGGAGTTCTCTTCCGGCCCATAGCCTTTCCAACGATAACAAGCAACAGGCAAGATACAGGAGATAACACACTGGAGCTGAAAGACCACTCAGCAAAGATCTTGGGAGTTGGGCCAGCTTAAATAGGCCAGACAGAGCAAGTCACTTCCTGTGCGCCATGCGCCGTTTGCGCATGCGCAGTCGCTGTCGCTCGCGCATGCGCAGTAGCTGCCGCTCGCGCATGCGCAGTAGCTGCCGCTCGCGCATGCGCAGTAGCTGCCGTTTCCGGCAAATGTGATGAACAGGCCTATGCGCATGCGCGGTCGAGACTCTGCCGTTAGGCATGGTCTTACACCTGCCGTATGGACTACTATGGAGCCCTGTGCAAATATGACCATCAGAGAAAGAGAAATGATTCTATAAAAATTTTTTATTACACATAGACATCTAATATACAGTATGTGTGTTTTTAGGAACATTTCTCTTTAACCCATCCCCTGCCAGAAGGCTTTTTGCACATAATATTGGCAGAGCTCTTTATCGAGTGCAAAATTTCAGTTAAAAATATACTTTCATTAATTTTGGTGCAAAAAAACACAATATAATACCAATATAAGATATAAAAGATGAGGATCTGCCGAGTAAAAGATATCCAACATGCCAAGCTTAGAAATTGCGTGCGCCCGTGAAACTGTACCCTAAATTGTCCATACACAATGCTTTAAAAGTCTATACAGGTCATCAGTTTAGAGTTAACCATCAATATTGGCCCGAGAAATATTGCTCTCACTCTAGTGCACACAGCGATACCTGACATGTGTGGTGTAATCGTCATTTTCGTATGTAGGCACACCTGAAGTATGTTTGCCTTACTATGCACCTGTTTGCAGGGACAGGGTTTTTAAAAAAAAAAAATTGGGGCTATTTTTTAATCTATGTTATTTAACTTTACTTTTGTAACTTTTCTTTTAACTTAATTGCATTAGTATATCTGTAAAAAATAAGTCAAGGCAACTGACAAGTTGCCTTGACTTATTTTTTACAGATATACCATGACCTGGATAAATGAGAACCTTCGCAGACTTAATTGCGTTAGTATGTGCATGTTTGCGGGGACGGGGGACTTTAAATGTTTTGGCTATTTTTAAATCTATTTGATTTAACTTAATTTTTTTCAACTTTTTTTTTTTTTTTACTTAGTTTAATTGCTATCACATGGAGGGCTCACAAGCTTCCCATGTGATAGCACATTGGAGGTGACATGTTCTCTTTAAGGTGACATTAGAGGCCTATTAGACCCCTAATGTCACCTACGCATTTCAAAGAAGCTGATCAAGCAAAGATCATCTTTTCCGGCTTCTCAGCTGTGTTTCCCCGGCTACTAGAGAAGCTGGGGAATCACGGCTAAGAAGCTGGAAGTGATGCAATCAGGACTTGTTAGACCCTTTGTGATAGCAATAAAGTTAAGTGAAAAAAATAAATAAAAAAAATGTAAAACCAATTTCCCCTTCTCCCACCTGGTACTATGGGTAAAATGCCGATGTTTAGAAATAGTAGATTTGTAATTTACAATCGTATAAAAGATGATTATGGATTATAATATAAATTTAATTTAATTAAAAAAGAAGCACTTGTGGGAGCATCCTGATGTGTCTCTAGGCAGAGGCCCACAGATGGTAAATACAGTCCTGCAGATAGGTACAGATAAGAAAGCAAGATGAGGTATAGAAACTAGACATGTGCATTCGGATTTGGATGAACCTGCAAAATCAACAAAATTCTGTTGATTCGGTGGTTCGTCCGAATCCGAAATAACACATTTTGTATATGGCCGAATATACTAAAACAATATTCGGGCATATAAAAATGTGTTATCAGAATGCGCGGCGGCCATATTGGCTGCCGGCGCGTTCTGCACATGCCCGCCACCATCTTGGAGGCGGGTGCATAACGTCACATGGCGCTATGTCATGGGTGACGTTATTCGCAGAACGAGCGGCCGGCAGATCAGCCGCTAGCGTGTTCTGCGCATGCACGCCACCATTTTGGAGTATACCTTGGTGTACAGCAAGATGGCGGTTCCCACATATTCGGGTGCCGCCATCTTGGTGTATACCAAGATATACTCCAAAATGTTGGTGCGGCCGCCGCTTGTTCTCCAGTTTCTTTGTGCGGTTTCCGATTCGGAAGCTCGTTGTATCACGTACCTGAGGGGAGACTGACCGCATGAGGGGGCTTCCCTTGCACCTCGTGTCCTGAGGCCTCTGGAAGTGGAGACAGAGACCTGGCGGACAACGAGTGGCACGGGTGCCAGTGGTGCTGAAACCGTGCAAGCAGAAGGTTGCTTCTGTAGCTGAGCAGAGGTAATCCGGAAATCAGGGTCAAAGCAAGCCGAGATCAAACCAGGAGAGCGTAGAAAGGTACAGAGGGATCGAGCAAAAGAGAAGTCCAGTATTCAGTCCAAGGTCAGTGGCCGGCAGCAATCAAGAGTAGTCAAGACAAGATATCGGGTCAAAATCCAGGACACAGGCAGTTCAAAGGGACAGGTAATCGCAGGATACAGAAACACAGGGAGGGGCTGAAGACAATCTAGCAATCTCCAGGTCTGCAGGCCGGGTTTAAATAGGGAAGTAATCCTGACTAAGTGTGTCACTTCCGGTGGGCCATTTGGCACGTTTTCCTGCGCGTCACTTCCGGTGCGCCATTTGCCTCGCTTTTCTGTGTGTTACGGGGCGTCCCGAGGCT